GCTTTTCACTAACATATCGTCCACATAAACCTCCATGTTTCTTCCCAACTGCTCCTTAAAAATTTTGTCCACCAACCTCTGGTACGTGGCACCCGCATTTTTTAAACCGAACGGCATCACCAAGTAACAATAAGTACCCCGACTGGTCACAAAGCTCACCCTCTTTCTATCTCCTCCCGCCAAGAGAATTTGATGATACCCCTGCGAGGCATCCATTAGGCTCAACAACTCACATCCGACAGTTGAGTCGACCAGCTGGTCGATTCTGGGCAGTGGGTACAAATCCTTCGGGCATGCTTTGTTTAGATCTCGAAAGTCGATGCACATTCTCCACTTTCCCTCCGTCTTTGACACCATCACCCATTCTGGGAACTGAATCTCCTTGATATGCCCCGCTTTCAACAGCTTCTTGACCTCTTGCTCGATAATTATATCCATCTCCGCTCCATGGTGTCTCCTCTTTTGCTTCACCGGCCTCACGCTGAGGTCTATGTTCAGCCGGTGTTCGATCACCTCTGCACTTATTCCCGTCAACTCTTCCGTTGTATACGCAAAGATATCCGCGAACTCCCTAACCAGACAGATCAACCTCGATCTAATGGGCTCCTCCAAGTCCTTCCCAATTCTGAACTTCCTCTCCTCGCACCCCTCGATCATCTGAATTTCCTCGACCTCCTCTCCTGGCCGATATCTACTTTCTCTTTTCACCAACCTCTGCTTATCTTCTTTCGTCCTCGATCCTTCTGGTCGATTGACCTCATCTTCTTTCGACCTGGCCTGCCTCTTCGCCAGCTGTTTGTTGTTGCTCATCGTAGTTTGGTAGCAGCTCCTCGAGGTAAGTTGATCCCCAACAATCTCTCCAACGTTTTCGCCCACAGGATATTTGATCGTCATGTGGTACGTGGATACGACTGCCTGGAATGCATTCAGGCTTGTTCTCCCCATTATAATGTTGTAAGATGATTCAGCCCCAACGACCACAAACCTCACCATCTGTACTTTCCTCATCATTCCTGATCCCAGCGTCACGGGTAGGCTGATCTTTCCCATCGGCATAACCTCTCCTCCCTTAAAGCCATACAACGCTGTGGTTACTGGTTTCAACTCCATGTTCAGCTCTTTATTAATCTGCACAAAACAGTCATAAAACATCACATCTACCGAACTCCCAGTATCAATGAACACCCTCTTCACATCAAAGCCCGCAACCTCCGCGGTAATCACCAGAGCATCATTATGCGGTAAGACCACTCTCTCAGCATCCTCCACTTTAAAACTTATCACCGGCATGCGAGCCGTAATCCCCACTTCCTCTCTCTTCCTCTTCACAGCTCGGGCATGTTCCTTCCTGGCGTGATTCGAGTCGCCATCCGTCGGCCCTCCAGAAATCATATAAATCATTCCTCTCTTCGACGGGGCTTCACCTCTTTTATCTCCATCTCTCCTCGGCCTCTTTGCTCGACCATCTCGCCCATCTCTATCATCACCCTCCTCATCTTTATCACTTCTCTCTTCAGAATCCTCCCGACATCTTCTCCTCCCTTTTTCTTTCGTCCTGGGCCTAATCGGGCTGGTAAACCTCGTCTTCGGCCACGTCACATCCTCGCTCGACATCTTCTGCTCCATAGCCTCGAGCACCTCTGTTAAATCTTTCCTCAAGGGTGTAAAACTATGATACCTCTGTCTTTCGAACGACAATGGCCTCCTCTTCCATTCATCCCTTTTCTCCTGTTTCGAATCTCGACCTTCTCTCCTGGGCGATGCTCTTTTCGGCCCACTCCTCTTGGGCGAATTCCTCCTCCGCGATCTTCCCTTTTGCGGGCTCTTCTCCTTCTTTGGCTCTGGTCGAGCCGCCCCCTCCAGCTTTGCAAACTCCATCTTCATCTCCTCCAGATTAATGTATTTTCTGCATCGCTTCAAAACGTCCTCATATGATCGAGCAGGGGTCTTTGCCTGGGAGGTTCGACAAGGCCCCGCTCGAAGACTCCTTATCAATCCTCCTGCTTTCACCTCATCCGACGTTGAGTGCACCTCCAAACATGTTTGATTATATCGAGCAACATACTCTCTCAACGACTCCTTCTCTCCCTGCCTCATCGCCATCAGCGTCAAATATGTCTTCTCCTGCGCCACCGCGCTCGAATATTGGTTGGTAAGCTTGCTGGAAAAATCCTCAAAGTCTGCGATCGACCCAGGGGGTAATTGATGAAACCAGTCAAGGGCTCCCCCACGCAAGGTCGATAGAAATGTCCTGCAACATACAGAATCAGAATGCCCATGTAATACAACCATGTTCTCAAAGGTCCTCACATGCCTCGATGGGTCAGATGACCCGTCATACACCAGATTAGTCTCCTTGAAATTATTCGGTAAGGAGGCTGCGAGAATCTCCCTCGAGAACGGATGTCCTCGAGCTCTCCTCTCTGGCCTCCCCTCAACCTTATCCTGCAACTGGCGCAACTGTTCCGCCATTCTCTCCATCGCACGATCTCTTTCCCCTCCTCCATCTCCATAACTGGACACATCCTCGTTCTGGCCTCCTACTACTGTGGTCGGCACGGTGGTGGCGTGAGATGTGTGGCTCGTGACCTGATGCACCGCCTGCGCCGCCGCGGCCACCGCTATCCTCTGCATCTCCTCCCTGGTCATCGTCACCATCTGTTGACCGGGGACTTGTGTCACTGCCTGTGGTGGAGCTCCTTCTTGTGTCTCCGCTCCTCTTGGTTGCACCACCACGGGGTTTTGGGGCGGCGGCGGTGGCATCGCCGCCGCAGCTGCTGCGCGAGCCTCCTAGGCACGACTAGAGCCGGCATCTCCTCCGAGAATCGCTGTCGTCGTTCCCACACCTTGAAGGATAGGTGTAGGAGTGATCGGCGTTTGCGATGGGCCAGAAAAACCCAGAGGAGGGCCATGTCCCAACGGCCTGGTCGTCATCCAAGCTTCGTC